TCACCAGCCTGGTACCGACCCCTCTGATTTTCATTCCTCCGTCTCTACAACTGGGTTCCAGAGTTCAGTTCTGTGTATATCTGTGGGTGTCTCTGCATCCATTCTTATGACCTTTTAGTAACAACTTCATACTCCCTTTGCACTTAGCAAGGTGACTGTCCAGTGCTCTTTTTTCCTAGCTGGCTGACTCAAAGTTTCATTTGTAGACATTGAAAATCTCAAAAGAATCATTGGGAACTGGTGTTGTAGACATAGATGGCACTCTGTGGGAAGTCTCTCTCCACAGCCAGCAACTCCAGTACAGTGGAGGCCTCTCTGGTGTATTCTTATCAAACCTGGATGGGGGCAGAACTTCCTGTTACCCTGGGGGGTGGCATCCTTCCTTTACCCTCTTCTTTCATGCACATGAGGGTTCTTTTCAGCCAGCTTGTCCAAGTCCCCTCTGCCATTTTTGAAGATGGAGAATGAACCTTCAGGTCTAAGTATCTACACCAAAGTTGGGTTCTTTTTGATTAACCCTTCCCAGGCCCAGATGACCAAGAATCCTTAGGGATTTTCCTCAGTTATCCAGCAGCAAATGTGAAAAGCTTTTCCTTGATAGGAGCTGAAAGGGGAGGCAGATTATAGGATACTTGAGTGCTTTTCTGACCTCTGCTTATGTGTCTGGGACACATGTGTGGTGGAGAGGAGAGGGGGATGGTGGGAGGAGGATGGAGGGATGAGGAGGTCACAGGTCCTAAGTTCAAATCTCCAGCACACACAGAAAAAGCTCACACAGCTGCAGGCACCTGTAACCCCAAAGCTAAAAGGATTGGGGAGCAGGAGGGAGGAGGGAAAGGGAAGAAGAAGAGGAAGGGAAGGAGGTGGGCAGGAGGGGGTGAGTCAGAAAGCGGGGGGCCAAGGCAGAAGTGAAGAGGGGAAGAAAAGGAGATGGGGGATGGGGAAAGGGAATAATAAAGGACATTCACAACTATCTATATCACAGGTCTTATTTCTCATCTCCAAGGCCTAATTTTTCCTTGTCTCTAGTGGTTTGCTGAGCCTAGTGCCATGAAAAGATTTGCTTTCTATGCTTGTTTCCAGACCGTCTGTTCTTTCCCACTGCTGTCTGGCCATCCTTGCTGCAGTGCCATATTCTTTGAATCATATTCTTTGCTCTGTAGACTGAAACCGCTATCCAGCAATATGTCTTCTGATTTAGTTGTTTTGCTTGAAGACTGTTTCGAGAGCCTCAACTTCATATTCACACACATTCTATTATCAGGTTGCCATTTTTTCAAAAAAAAAATAACATAGCAGGATTTTGAATGACATTATCATCCTTTTGGGAGGAAATGTTGCGAAGAAGGTGGTTTTTGTTTAGTTGTTGTTTGTTTTTAAGAGAGGATTTCACTGTGTAACCTTGGTAGCCTGGAACCCATTTGTAGACACAGCTAGGCTTGAATTCTCAGAGATCCACCTGCCTCTGAGGTGTGTACTACCACAGCTATCTGTGCTATTGACTTCTAATAGAAGACATCCACCCCACAGACACATTGCTCATGTCCATTTATTGCAGTCTCTAAGTTCTCTAAGTGTGACATACTTTCTAGGGACTGTATTAGCATATCCGTCATTATATTTCTAAGTGGTAAAGGCTTAGGGCACACTGCATTGCTACTTGGAATTGTATTTACTCATTTTTGTGTGTACTATACAGAAGTACAGGTGGCTTGTGATTCTTGTCCCTCAGTCCAGAAACTTGGTTATTGTCACTTAATAACTGCAATGATTTTTTTGAATTTTGTGTATTTGATATTTGTGTGTGTGTGTGTGTGTGTGTGTGTGTGTGTGTGTGTG